CCTTTCAGATTTCTGGATGGCTGTTCTGTTGATTTGCATATTATGCTTTTATTATTATAGATAGTGTAGTTGTGGCTACAACCACCTCCTCTTCTCCCCATTAAAGTCACTTATCTTGAATGTGGATTTTTTTCCCTGTTTTTTTTTTTTTTTTAAATATATATATATTTGTATTGATTTTAGAGAGGAAAGGAGATGGAGAGATAGAAACACCAATGATGAGAGAGAATCATTGATCGGTTGCCTCCTGCACACCCCCCACTGGGGATCGAGCTTGCAACCTGGCCAGAACTGAACCCAGGACCCTTTGGTCCACCAGCCAACTGTCTATCTACTGAGCCAAACCGGGTAGGGCTGAAGATGTTATTTTCAAAGAAAAGAGACTCTAGCGGGTTCTGCACATGACATTTTTCCAAGGTGTTTCAAGTTCTCTATAAAAAGTGAAGTTGTCGTTTGTTGTTATCAGGACCACTAGCCAAATAGGTAAAGTTGACAGTTTTTATTAGTTCTCTTTTTTTTACAATCGCCTGTCTTACTATGAAGACAAATAAGAGAACGCTGTCTTCACACTGGCTTTGTTTTATAGTTCTTAGATTTGTAACACGAATGGTTTTGAGCCAATTCCAACCTGTAGTGATGGGTGTCAGTTTCTTGGACACTACTCAGAAATCTGTGAGTGAGCAGCGTTGTAATAATTCCAAGGCAGGCTGTCCTGGAACAAGCCTTGGACTCTGTGAGTCACCACTGGAACTCAGCAATTCTAGTCCCGACCCTTCCTCTAACGAATGTGTGATCTTGGGTAGGTCCTTTAATGTTGGTCCCCAGTTTACTCATCTCAAAAAGGAGAAATGAGACCTGGATGAGCTCTAAATCCTTTCCAATTTTGTGGTTTTATTATTCTAATAAATGAATCACAAAAGTCAAAAAAACATCCCAATTATAGCAATCAAGAAAAAAAAAAAAAAACCACCTGTGATTCTGTTTTTATATGGTGTTAAAGATTCCCTTTTGACTTTTGAGTATCTTAATGACTCAATGTGTGTACCCCTGAAACTCTACTAGATCCCTGGAAACTATTTTTTAAAATTGATTTGGGGCCAGTATGGAATCCTACGTCTTATTATCTGAGTTTCAGATTCTGAGTTGTAAGAAAGTCTATTTAAAATGGTATGTTTTTCTTACAGCAATTGTTAAGTGCTCAGATTTTATGATGTTTTAACATTTATTGCCATTCATTATCTAAACACTCTTCTATAATCCAGTGAGTGTATGAGGTTAATAAGTAGAATGGAATTCATTTTGGGTTTGATTTCATCTACTGAATCTAATGGAAAGCCTCTCATATCCGTTCTTTCTTTGTTAACATGGTCAAGGCAAAGGGACTTGGAAAAGCTCAGTAACCTTAAATCTGTGTGACTTAGAAGGCTTCATCCTTTTAGTCAAGTCATCCTTCCATTGAACAAGGCTGGCTCTCTCTCTTCCTTTCTCTCTCTCTCCTACCTTCCCATATCTGGCTCTACCACCTCCCTCCTGAGTACACACTAACACTCGTACTTGGACTACATTTCCCAAAACATATACTTAGAATTTCATCTAACTGATTGCTTTGCTGCACTCCAAATGGCCCAGCATTTTGTCAATGAAGAGTGTAAATCATGCCTTATCCAGGATACAATGGGATGTGATGTTTAGAGGAAGGAAAATATGTTTCCTTATAGAAGCACCAGGCACTTACCCATTTGAATTGGACAGAAGAGTTTTAGTCATTCATCCTGATGTTTTGTCTAAGTAGTACCAAACATCTGGAACCTGGGTGACAGACTGGATTTTTCACTTCACATCCAGATGTTTTTGCATTATGAAGAAACAACTTAAAGAAGTCAGCTATATTTTTAGGCATTTATAAAGTAAAAGCATACAAGTTATACCAACTTCATTTCAGTTTTGAGATAGAAAAAGTGAATGAAATAGAAACAAACTGTTGGTTGATTCTTTATACCATATGCTAGTGTTGTGTGTGTGTTTTTTGAAGCCGCACATTTTTAAACTCAGGTATGAGGATTAAAAAAATTATGAAATCCTGTCGCTAAAAATACAAAGATTTAGACTGTTGTTCAACAGTTGAAATGCTCAGACTCTGCAAATTCAGGTAAGACTTGGGCAGTGAAAAGCCAGCCTCAAAATCAGTTGCTTAGCAGCTCGAGCAATGGGTTTCTTTCCAAGTGACTCTGTGTAAGTACATTTATTCCCTGCATGCAAATGAGAATGCATGATAAACAGGTTATCGAGGCTCTAACATGATTTGCAAAACATTTGAGACCTTTTAAAGCCACATTTTTTAGAAATGCTTTTAATGACTCAAAGTGGAAAATAAGACCGCATCCACTAGAGCCACCTTGGGCATTTGTCACTAGAACACAAGCAGAAAGGAATGTTTAAACATTGTGCAATACAACCATTTGAAAAAACAAAACAAAACACAAAAAAACACTTTGTGTTGTTTGGAGACTTGTATTTCTCTCCCACATTAAATGGAATTGGGTCTAATGCTTGTTAGAAGACATGTTCAGAACATATTTCTTATATTAGAAGACACGGTGTTTAATCTGGTTGCCAACTGCCAACAGGCTTTGTGGGCCTTTCTATGCCATGAAAATTCCAATATATTTTTCATTATTTCCACAAAAGCATATAGTGTGTACATTACACATAACAGCAGTATTGAACTCAACTGGCCTGGTGCCCTGTCTTTGCTGACTCAGCACATGGTTTCTCTTTTCCAGATTACCAAAACAACTCTTCTCTGGGGTTAAGATTTCGCAGAAAGCCAAGGGGAACAGAAATACAGAGGGGCTTTATGTTCACCCTCAATTGTAACAAGTCTGAAGGCAAATGCCAAATCAGACCCAACTTTTCCAGGTTCGTAGAACAAAAAAAAGCCCCCCCGCCCCAATCCTCTTTCAACCCAGCATTTGAGGGAGTCACAGTAAATAGGAACACACTTGTTCTTCACCCGTGAACCTGCACCAGGTCTCTCGGGGTGGGACTCCACCTGTGCCGGAGTTTCTTTCCCCCTCTGTGTATAAGATTTTTTAAGCCAGGAAGATCAATCTCCTTTTACAGACTTGCAACAGCAAGCATTTTTTGAGTCGTGAACAGAGGAAGCTGCATATCCCAGTCATTGTCCGCCTTCTCTAGCAGATTCAGCCTGGCAGCCATCCGTCAGAGATTTAGGGCTGTGTGTGCAGTGGGCCACAATGTCCGTGTTAAACACACACATGGAATGTTTCTGGAAGTTGGTTTATCTGTTCCCGGACACACTCAGCCATCTGGTAAGGTGGGAATCGCCGGACTGCAGGGCAGCTTGTGGGACAGGGTCAGGCAGAAGAATATTGTGAACCTCCGGTCTCCCCAAAGCGTCCCGCCTTCGCCTCCCCCTGGACCGGCTAGCTAATCAATGCAAATGTCGTAGGAGGCCAGGCCCGCAATTGGCATTCCAAAGAGGGCAGACCACCAGCAGAGCCTTAAATAAGTGCAGATGTGACAGGCGGGAGACCCCGGAGGGGCGCCTCTCTGCCCGCACCTCCCTCCCCGCGCGGGCCGACGCGCACTGTCTCGGGCCCGGGCTGTCCGTGCGGCCGATGCGGGGAGTTGTGTCCCGGAGGACCGGGTGCTCACCAATAATCGCAGGGGGCGGGAAGGCCCCCCGAGTGCGAGCCCCGTCCTCTGTAACTCCCTAGGTCCAGCTGCTGCTTCCCTGTCCTCACCGCCAGCCTAGCCTCCAAGCCAAGCGCGCCTGACTACCGGTCTCTACCCGGGAACCCCGAACCCGGCTGCTGGTCCGCGGCGGAGCTCCGCTCTCCCAGGGCAGGGCCCTACCTGCCTGGACACCCGCGATCCGGGGCTTGTCCCCCGTTCACTCCCACCCCACCGGGGAGTGCACCTTCTCCGCCCCAATCCGGCCGGCCTCAGCGAGACCCCGGCCCGCGGTCCTCAGTGTGCGGTCCGGATCGGAGGGCGGAGGCGGGGGGCGGGTCAAACCCCGGTCACCCCCAGGCCGGTGAAGGCCGAGGCTAGGAGCTTAAGTGGGGGCAGCCTCGACCCTGCAAACCGCCCCCACGAACCCGCACCCCGCAGTCCTCACTGCGGGCTCGGCCAAAGGGGGAAAGAACCGGGGGGGGGGGGGGGGGGACGGGGACGGGGGAGCTTTGCGCATTCTTTCGTGTTTCGCCGGCCCAGACCCGACTTTATTCACAGCCATCCTCCCCACACCGTTTGTCAGGCAGCTCCACCGACCCCGACGGCCCCGGGCTCCCCATCCGCGCAGCCACCTCGCCCTAGAACAGGGCCCTTCCAGTCCGAGCAAACCCTCTTCGCTCCCTCCCTCCCTCTCCCTGTCTCTGCGGGTGCCGCTGGCGTGGCCCGGGAGGGGGGCAGAGGTCGGAGCTGCAGGACCCTTGGCCTCCGCCCATATCCGCTGCCCGATGAGGCCCCACCACCTCCCGCCCCAGAACCCCCCCAGCTCCATCCGTTCCAATGTCTCCCAGCCCCAACCGCGCGGCCCCGCGCCCCGCAGTGGCGGGAGCACCCGCACCGCTCGGAAACCCGCAGGCGGAGAGCGCCGGGTGCAGGGGTGCAGGGGTGCAGGGGTGCAGGGCCTTCTCCGAGCGGCGCTGCCGCCAGCCCCTCTGCCTGAGCCAGAGCCACCCCACCGGCCTCCGGAGCCGCGGAGACTCCGGTTTCGGCTCCTCCTCTCCGGACGCCCCTTCGGCCGCCGGCTCGCCCGGCTGGACCGCGCGCAGAGGCTGCCTGCGAGCATCCCCCCCAGCCGCCGGGCGCGGCGGGAAGGGCTCCGGAGGGGACCGCCGGGACCGGGCACCCAGCCCTCCGCGCTCCGGCCCCGGAGGAGCCACGGGCGCCGCGCGGTCCCCGCTGCCCCCCGCCCGCCCGCCGCTCCGCCCGCCGGCACCTGCACTTCCTCTCTTCTCGTTCGCCTTTCCATCCGCGCGTAGTAAAGCCACGAACTTTAAAATAAAATAAAAAAATAATACAATATATATTTTTTTCAGAGACAGGCACGAAAGGGGGGATACGATGATCCGTGCGCCGACTCACGGAAACACGAACTGGCCCAGGGCGACCTTGGCACAGAGACCCGTTTCCCCAGCCCGAGAGGGGGCGGCAGGGGGTGTGCCGAAGGGAGCGATACCGAAGAAAGACAGGATGACAATCAGCTTCACGTTATATTGAAAAACTCTCCAAACCCTTAACGCTTGTTTGTGGACCTGGCTTTATTAGGCCGAATTTAAGCAAAAACAAAAACTAGAATCTATGGCTGCAAATCCTGTTCAAAGAGGCCCAGGAGAGTAGGAGACACGGGCAATGAAGCTAGGTGATGCAGCGACTATACAGGACTTTTCAGGGACCTTCTTAAGAGTTCTTCTATTTTTTTTAAGTGCTAAATTTAGGTAAACAACTTTCTGAACAGCAAACAACCCAGGTAAAAAAGGTTCCTTTTCTAATGTAAAAATTCTTGGCGATGCATCACCTAGAAGAGAATTCAGGAGATTTCTGACTGTGTACCGCAAACAGCGAACATAACCGGGGTAAAGAACTCATAAGTCCCCTTATGTAAATGCCTGCTTCCATCATTCAAAAACAGTTTATAGAGTAAACTTAAGTCACAGGGCCACCCTTCGTGCCCTTTCGTGAATAGTATCTCAACTTTCCTCCAGCCCCAAAGAAGATCAACAGCAACGTTAGTATTTTGTTCTTTCCAAGGAATAGATGGTCCTTTTCAGCCAGCTCGAAGGTCCTCGGGAATGAGATGTGCTAAGCATTCGGATGAGGATAGTTTGGAAGACAGTGCAGGTGTGGGCTGACTTAAATTACTTGCCTTTGTGCGTGTTTTTTTTCCCCCCCTAAAAGGTCAAATGTAGGCTCTGGTTTTCTGGAAAGGCAGAGAGAATAAGATCTCCTGACATGAGTTAAAATGCCCCTGTGCCCAGCCTCAGATGGAGGAGATAATGCAAACCTGATAAGGCATGTCACGGAGGCATCTTGGAAAATGATGTGCCGATCAGCACGCACGTCATCAATCAAACATCATTTGATAATTTTTGCATTCAATTGAACAAATGACTCCACCATTGGGAGAATTTTCACAAATAAGCAATTAGTGAAATGATCAGTAAAGTCTTCCACACCCTCTCACTCATTTAATGGCAAATTATTGAGCAGGGTTTAGCTTGTAGGACTATGTAATAGTCTGGGAAAGAGTAGTGCAGTTAAAAATGGAGTCCAAGAATCTCACAGTTTAATTTTCTAAAGTAGTAGAAAGTACTAGCAGAATTACTCAAGGGTTATTTTTTAAAAAATCATTTTGGAACAAAGATTACATTTAGGAAACAAATCAAAACAGCCCTACCATCTGAAGACATGTGAATTGAGTATATGGTTTCTTGAATTATTTTCTATATAAAATAACAGTGACCTTTTAAAAAAATATCTGCTTTATTAAACACATAAAATTGGCTATATTAATATATATTTTGTCTTATGTAACTAGAATTCCTTGCAAACGAACAGCTATGTTGGCTATATTCCCCAAGTATCAGTAATTTGAATTCCCTGCATATAATTGACCTCATTAAATTGAATCATAAACGCTACTGGAGAAACCCTATATACAATTATGCAGATCAGTAGTAGTTTTTAAGTCACTAATAACTAGACATATAAATTTTCTGGATTGAAAGAGAGACTGTAAATCTATCTTGTATAATTTTCTGGCCATCTATTAAAACGAGATAAATTACAGCATATAAACATCTTTGGGATTGGTTTTATTATAAGGAAATAATTTTCTTTGCTGTCAGAGAGGCCCATGAGGGCAAATTTTATTATATATTTGAGAACTGTTAAATTTGAGAACTAAACACATAATTTCAAACCATTTCTTAGAAAAGTTCTCAGACTATTAATAGAATTTATTTCTGAGAAGTGCATCTAAAAATACAATATAGGTGACATTAATATTGAATTTTCATAACTAAGAATCTGTGCGTGGAACAGAAAATACGTGCAAATAAAAACGTAAGAGTGAGTCCAGGTGAAGGAGGACATTCGAAGTTATGGTTGGTAGAAAAAGAATCTATTTTACTAACAATTTGTGCATTCTCTCTCTGAAGGTCTGCCCTTCACAATGACGAAATTGCTCATGGATCCTTTCACCAGCCTCACACAATTGCAGCCATGTGTATACGGGCGTGTGTGTGTGTGTGTGTGTGTGTGTGTGTGTGTGTCTGTGTTTCAATCTCCATTTGCCTTTGCATGGCAAATAGATAAAGGAAGAATGAAAATCTTGAGCTACTCTGACACACATAAGGACTTATAGTTTTATTAATCGAGAATTTAGCTTATCCCCTCTGCTATTCATCTGAAATTAATTAAGTGTGTAGAATTACAAGGTGGGTGTATCCGAGACAGCAGGCCCTGCTCGGACTAATCAAAAGGGCACATGTTGAATGAGCACAATTTAGTTAAGGTTAATCCAGTGAAGATGATACCCCCCTGTTCTTAATTAGTCTAGGTGATAGATTGTGGAATGGGAAAGTAGGAAGGAAAGGAAATTCGGTCCTACTGAATACCAGGGTTTTCTAATTTAATTTAGGTCTCTGTTTTCACAGACGCAAACAGTTTCCAGTCAGAGAGTAGAACACACTGTCTAGATTCTTTTCTAAGGAGGGTAAAAAGAAAACTGCATGTGTATTTTTAAGGAAAAAAAAAAACAGAAAAAAAATGAAGCATTCAAAGGTGTTGGTGATAATGTGCCTTTCATTACCAACATGCTAGTTCAGAATTCTATCAGAGCTCAGTGGATTCTTTGTGATTTCTGCTGGGGGCTGGTTACTTCTTTGTACTTCCTTCTGGGTACCAATTCTGGTTAGTGTGTTGAAATAAACAGAGACATTTCTGTTCCTGTAAGACTGTATTCATGAAATGAGTGTGTATATGTTATTAAAAACAATACAGTTAAAAATATTAATAAGGACACACACAGCTACCCACCATGAATGAGTTGCACAGTTCAAAGAATGTTGAGCAAAAGAAGCAGACGTAAGAATACAGACTGTATGATTCCATTCCTATAAAGCTCAAAAAAACCAACATGAATCCATAGTGTTACAAGTCACAATAGTGATTACCCTCGGAGGAAAAGTCTGCAACTGGAACAGAATAAGAGAGGTTCCTGGGGAACGTTCTGTTTCTCTTGCTGGGTGCTAGTTCTGCAGGTGTGGCCACTGTATGAAAATGCATTGATCTAATGAATTTGTGAACTTAGGGTTTGTGCATTTTTCTGTACAAATGTCAATGAAACATTTACTTTACAAAATGAAGGTGAATAAGAGAACAAAACACTACGAAGTAAGGGAATGGGATCTTGGGGCAAGACATTTTTAAAAGACAGCTGAGGATATAATTCCAGAAGAGAAAAAAATGCATTATAATGTATAGCAAAGTATTATCAACACGGTCTTTATGTGTCCACTTTGCCATCTTATTACCTGCACACCCACAAACACTTAAGACTACTCCTCAGTATCCAGATTTCACCAAATATCTGAATCTTTTTTGTTTTTGCATATGTGAAAGTCCAATTCTGATTAAGGTGTTTAAAAATCTTATTATTTGTTGCTATTTAATGTGCAGCCACCGTCCCTCCCACCCCTCCAAAAAAAAATAAATAATAAATAAAGTTCGTTTTCTCCTTGCTATTGCAATAGGAAATCATCGAATGATTTCCTTGTTTTCAGTTTTGTGATATATTTTTCTGTTCAAGAGGGGGTATCTGTTTCTGATTTATTAGCATTTGATCCCCTGGTTTCCTGCCATTGATCAAGCCTAATACTTGGCTCTGCTGATGAGTTTTATATGAAAACTGATATTTCAGGAAGACGGAAGGCTGGACCCATTTTTAATATTTCCCCCCTTCATCTCTTTTCAGAGTTTGACGTACACAGGAGACACCTAGCAAAGCCCGAAACTATAGTCTTTCCCACTGCATCACACTGGTATAAAACTTTTTGGAAGTCAAACAATAGAAGAGATGTTTGTCCAGTGTCACTCACATCCTGCCAACTGTATATACATTTACACCCTCTCGCCAAAACATGCCTTCACCCCGCTGCTGACCGGCTGTCCGCCGTTCAATTTCCAGTGGAGTCGCGGTGAGTGAGGTCAAACTCCTTGGAAACATCTGTATTTGATCAGTTTGCACAAAACGGGCCTTCCTCAGGCTGGACTTCCCTGAAGTCCGCTGCGACAATGGCTGATTCACCACCAGAGCCTCCCTTAGGAAACCTGTTTTCCCCTGTGAGACTATACAATTATTGCCCAGGCTCCGTCCGACTTTAATGAGCGCAGGGTATTAGCAGTGCCCACACTTCGCAAGCGGGCAGCACACGGAGAGAGGATTTCCCTTCGTGGACTGGAAGATGTTGTTCTAGTTATTGCTGCAGGTAGGACGCTTTGTGCTTCCATATCTGTTTTGGTTCTGGTGAAGAGTAACACATGGAATCAGATCAGACACTAAGCAGCATGTGGACAGTATTTTGACCCTTGCAGACCTGATGGGGCCGGGTCTGTGCTCCCAGATGCACATCCGGGGAGGATTAGCATCAGCCTCGGCGTCTCTGTGTTTTCTTTTCTCTTCCTTTCTTTTCTTCCTCTTTTTTCCCCAACTGCATTTCCAGCATTGCATCATCAACATGTTTTTCCACAGAGAATCTAAAGGATAACTTAGTCCAGAGCCTCTTTTTTTAAAAACAAAAACAAAAACAAAAATATGTGTTTTATCCTCCTCTATAGCATGAGATTTAAATGCAAAAGAAAATGGATGGAAAGTCTAGTGTAAACTGGTAAATTAAACATCAACCTGAAAGGCAACATGAAAGAAGTTTCATTAAAATTTGGGGCATCACTAAATTCATCCTACTGGTCGAACATTTAGAAAATTCCCCAAGTGTCTACAAAATTGTTGGCTACATTTCAAAAATTATACAACTGGCCTTCATTGATAAGGAGGGTGGAGCAAGAAGTTGCAAAGACTAGTTAATCAGTCAGTTACCTTTCCATTGATGGGCTTCTGCATGTACTAGTAATAGGGATCGAGTGGGAGGGAAAAGAGACCCACAAAACACGCCCATTCTTCAGAATCTGCCGGCAAAAATACATGAAAACTTTAATAACAGACAAAAGCAAGAAGTCTCAGGTAGTCAGTCCGTGGTGCAGTCACTAATGTGCAGATCATCCATCCTTTGCTCATGTGAAAAGCACATCGAAATGGCTGACGTGTCTGTGGTCCCATCTCCCATCTCAGTGCTGTTGCTTCCCCATCATTCCATCATCAGCTGTGCTGGGGTCAGACCAAGCTACATTATTACAAGCCCAGCACTCTGGGACTCAGGGCAAGTTCCCGAACCTCTCTGTGCCTTAGATTCCTCACCTGGGAATGACTGTGCCACCTCACCGGGCAGGCTGGTAAATGAGACAATGTCTGCAACGTGATTGAAGCTCTGCCGGTGCAGCAACATGCTCCCACAGTCAGCTATGACTGGTGTTCATGTTCCTGGCATTCCCACCCGCCCCTGTCAGCAGCCATGTTGTGTTAATAGCTACTGATTCAGTCTGAATAAAAAGGAGTTGTCTTGAAATACCCCAGCAGCCTGCTTTCTAAAATATGCACTCGCTGCTTAAAGGTCCACTTGCTCTCCCAAGGGACCCGATTCAATAAGGATGGAAATCATGGGTGATTCACACCACCATGTTTTCCCCTAAGGGCAGACTTACACACAGTACAAATAAAGGAGCAGCTTTATTTTCCACCACAAAAGGGTGAACTTTTAAAGGTCTTGAAAGGGGGGTAGAAACCCTTCGTGGGTACCAAGACCAACGTTGGTCCCAAATGTCAGTACTCTGGAAAACCTGATCTCGTTGCATGGTTTTAACTGGCTTTATGCAGGAGATGCAAATGTTTTTTCTTACCTCAGTCCAGTATTCCAGGTCAGCAATTTTTAAAAAAATATATATATATTTTATTGATTTTTTTTTTTTTTTTTTTTTAGAGAGAGGAAGGTAGAGGGATAGAGAGCTAGAAACATCGACCAACTGCCTCCTGCACAACCCTTACTGGGGATGTGCCCGCAACCAAGGTACATGCCCTTGACCAGAATCAAACCTGGGATCTTTCAGTCCGCAGACGGACGCTTTATCCACTGAGCCAAACTGGTTTTGGCAGCAATTTTTTTTTTTTTTTTTAACTTATCTCTACTTCTGAATTGCCTGATGTCCAAAGGACCCACCCTTTCCTTCTTTCTCCGTGATCTCCCTTCAGGCAGCGCCTCATCCAGGGCTCTCCCTCTTCCGTCTCCTGGGTCTGCCTCTAGCCCTTTAAGACACTGTGCATCTCCTGCACTGATGTGAGCATTGGCCTTCCTGAGAGCTTTTCTTTCAAAATCAAACTTTCCCAAGTTGCTCTCTTTGCTTTGCTCCACACATCACCAAGCCCTTGACATTTGCTCTCTCCCTTCTCTGTCTTGCCTTCTGCATAAGACTTCTCAGTTCTTGAGAGAAGGAGTGGGAGGGAGGAGAGGTTAGAGCCATGACTCCTAGCCTCCCTTGATGTGTCATGTCTTCTTCCTTCTGGTGACTCAGTAAGATAGTTCCGGGGCCGGTCATAACCTTCTCCTCCATAATGACTGTAAGATGCCTGCTTAACCCTGCCTACCTGCCTGCTAGTGCCATCCAAAAGCACATTCCTGGTGAGTGTCCACACTATTCCTTCTCTAGTCCTTCACTTTGGTGCCCCCTAAGTTTTGCATACCTAAGGAATTGAAGTCTTCACAATTTTAGTATATCAGGTTCTCCCAATTGCTGTAAACACTTTTAAAATATTAGCAGTGGCTTGATAATACAAAATCCATCAGTTTACTTACACTAAAACCTGTTAAAAAGGGATAACAGTAAATGCGATTCTCGTTGTTTTTTTTTTGTTTTGTTATTGTGCTAATTTTTAATTTTATTGTTCACCAACTATATTTTATTTATTTATTTATGTTTAAAGACATGGAAATATGTGATTTATTTTTTATTAATTTTTTTATTTTTTAATGTTTTGGGTATACATCCCAGTAATGAGACATTACATACCTTTACTAAGTGATCATCCTGATAAATCTCATACCCATCTGACAACATACATAGTTATTAGAATATTATTGACTGTATTTCCTTTGGTGTGCTTTCCATTTCCATGACTGTTCTGAAGCAACTGTTTGTACTTCTTAATCCCTTCACATTTTTTACCCATCCCCCCAACTCCCCTTCCATCTGTCTAATATTTTTGTTTTGGTAAAGTCATGATGGTCTTGGAATAACCGAAAACTGGGCATTGAGAATTGGCATTGGTACAACCTAGCTGGAAACAGAACACAGGTGATGGCTCCACTTTGGAGCTAGCGGGCTGGGCTTTTTTCTTTTTAAAAAATCCTCACCCAAGGATCCTCCACTGATCTTTAGAGAGAGAGTAGAAAAGAGGTAGGAGGGGAGAGAGAAATATTTACATGTCTTCACAGCCCAGCCTCACTTTCAATTCAGGGAACAGATACCTACAGATGAACAGCCAAATGGAAGCAGCTGCAGGCCGAACAGTGAGATTGGCTTGAAGGCTGTCAAGTGATGAAGCAGCTCCTCCCTAAAGGTGGGATTCTGGGTCCAGGGAAAAGGGATTAGAACCCTGGCCCAGGAGGATGAATCATTGCTTCCTGTAGGAGATGAACACAAAGTTCTCTTTCCTGTTCTCTTGTGAGCACCTCTGTCCTTCTGTCTCTCCTGTTCTTTACCTGGCTTCTTCGTCTCCCATTCCTTCTGCTTTCAACACCATTTCTTCTTCATGCACTCTCCTCGCCTTTTCTAGGGTTTGGGTCTGGAATCCAGGGGCACAGGTTGGCCCCGCTGGAGACTCCAGAGAGCAGGAGGTGCTACTGAACTCAGATCCTAAAACACAGAAGACAACAGAGGGGGATGGGAAGAAAGGGGAGGCAGAATCAGTGTGAGCAAGTGTCTTCAGTTTTAGAAAATAAGAAGCATGTGACTCTCATCTTGTGTATACGTTCTTTAATTTGATTAGGATGCTGCTGCAATCCCAATCATAGCGATGACTATATACAATACTTTGTGTCATACCACCACATATTGAGTTGTCAACAGTGCTTGTCTAAAAGGCTCTTAAAACTACAAAGTAATGCATCTCTGATGGTGGACTCCCAGGCACTGAGACAGGCTGGTATGAGAGATATTGGGGTGGAAGAGCTATTCCAGGCCCTCTTCTGTTACATCAAGCAGGCAGCCATCTCATCCAATTATGTAAAAGGAAGTCTGCATCCATTTTCATCTGAATGTCTTCATTTGTAAACTAAAATGACTTCTGGTGAGTTATCTTCTCCAACTAGAGCTACAGAGCCTTAAGGTTTATATTATTAATCCATTTCTTAAAACCAAGCATTTCTCTAGAAAAAGATAATTTCTTAAGCCCCCCAGGTCCCAACCAGAAAATGAGTTGTCTGGGTGACGTGGCTCCATCAGCAGAAGTGTAGAGCAGCATTCATTCATTCATTCCATCATTCACTCATTTATTCATTCATGCAACAAAAACAAAAAAAAAGTGGAATTGGGGTCTTTTCAGGGGTCTGGGGGAGGGGTGTCAGCAGCTTCCCTGTTAGGCCTGAGACTCCTACCTGGCAGGATAAACTTTGGAACCACAATCAGAGCCTCTTTGCCTGAAAGCAAAGAATTAACCCCCAGAAAGGGAAAGGCTGAGAAGAAAAAAGACCGTCTGTGGGCTCCACAGCATCAGCTTATCACTCAGAATGGCATCTCCAGCACATCTCCCCTCCCCAGCTCTGCCTTCTAGGATTTGGCAGAAAAGAGCCTTTGGAAGATTTCTGCATGAACAGGACTCATCTCTCCCTGGAGCAACACGTGGGAGCCCTCTGCTCTGAGGTCTGTGTGGAAGGGAGTCCGAAAAGCCTGCCCAGGCTCTTCCACCAGCTCCTCTCTGATGCTGGCTTCCTGTTCTGGCATGAGCACCCCAGGCCCTAAAGTACAAACCCCAATGGGACAAGCAGCAGGTCGTCTTGAGCATCTGCCACTCCCTGGCAGGGCAGTGGTG